CCCGCCTCGGCCTCCCAAAGTGCTGGGATTACAGGCTTGAGCCACCATGCCCGGCCTGGAGTATACAGTTTTCAAACAGACGGGTCAGGGACGGCCACCTCATTTCAGTACTGATGTGAAGGAAGGAGGAAGAATAGGGAGAAACGTTCTAGGCAGAAGGAATCACAAATGCAAGAGTCTCAGGCAGGAACATGCCTGGATCGATCCGAGAGGCACAGGGGCCAGTGTAGCCGGCACAGAATGAATGAGGGGAAGACAAGGTCAGAGAGGTAACAGGGCCAGACTCAGGCCGGGCGCAGTGGCTCACGCCTGTAATCCCAGCACTTTGGGAGGCCGAGGCGGGTGGATCACGAGGTCAAGAGATCGAGACCATCCTGGTCAACACGGTGAAACCCCGTCTCTACTAAAAATACAAAAACATTAGCTGGGCATGGTGGCGCGTGCCTGTAATCCCAGCTACTGAGGAGGTTGAGGTAGGAGAATTGCCCGAACCCAGGAGGTGGAGGTTGCGGTGAGCCGAGATCGCGCCATTGCACTCCAGCCTGGGTAACAAGAGTGAAACTCCGTCTCAAAAAAAAAAAAACAAAAAAACAAAAAAAAACAGGGCCAGACTCTGTCGGGGCTCATAGGCACTGTAGCAATTTTAGCTTCCACTTGTGGTAAGCTAAGGAGTGATATGACTTGGCTTATGTGTTAGAAGTTTCTCTCTGGTGGCTGTGTTAAGAAAAGAGTGAAGCGGATAAGGGTCACGGTAGGGAGAGCAGATAGGGGATAACTGAAATAATCTTGGGATGAGATGATTGGGACATGATCAGGACTGTAGTAGTCAGTTTCTGGATTATTCTGAACATAAGGGTAAATAGGATTTCCTGATGGATCCATCTTCATCCAAAGAAAGAGAAGCAGCAACTGGAAGAATGAAGTTGCCGTTTACTGAAAGGAGGCAAAATCAGGTGCTCAGTTTGGGGTCTGTTCAAGCTGAGATGTCTGTTAGAGATCAAGTGGAGATGTCAAGCAGGCTGTGGAGTCTGGAGCTCGGAGGAGAGGTCCAGGCTGGAAGTATAAATGTGGACACCAGGAGAAGCGTAGACCGAACTTAAGCCATGAGACTTGATGAAGTATAGGTAAAAAGAGAAAGGATCCAAAGACTGAATCCTGGGTGCTCCAACATTGAGAGGCGGGGGAGAGGAGGAACCAGCTGTGCCAGAGGATGAGGCAAAGTGAGGTAAGATGAGGACTGGGAATTGATCATTGGATTTAGCAGTGAGAAGTTATTTGTGACCTTGACAAGAGCAGTTTCAGTGGAAAGGTGGGGCAAAAGCTTGATCAAAGTGCGCTCAAGAAAGAATGAAAGGAGAAGGAGTGAGCAAAGACAACTCTCTTGAAGAGTTTGCTGAAAGAGTAGGGGAGAAGTGGGGTAATGGCCAGAGGAGGAGGTAGAATCAAGGGAATTTTTTTTTTCTGCAACAGAGTCTCACTCTGTTGCCCAGGCTGGAGTGCAGCAGTGTGATCTCGGCTCACTGCAACCTCCGCCTCCCGAGTTCAACTGATTCTCCTGCCTCAGCCTCCTGAATAGCTGGAATTGCAAGTGTGTGCCACCACGCTCAGCTAATTTTTGTATTTTTAGTAGAAATGGGGTTTCACCATGTTGATCAGGCTGGTCTCAAACTCCTGACCTCAGGTGATCCACCCACCTGGGCCTCCCAA